TGGGAGGGTGAACAGAGTGAAGATTTGTCTTGAAGTCTATCCTGGTCAGTTTATGGATAATGAACATATCAGAGGATATTTTTTTTTGTTTTTGTTTTTTTTTTGTTTTTTTTGAGACAGAGCCTCAAGCTATCCCCCCCTGGGTAGAGTGCCATGGCATCACGCTCACAGCAACCTCCAACTCCTGGGCTCAAGGGAGTCTCCTGCCTCAGCCTCCCAAGTAGCTGGGACTACAGGTGCCCGCCACAACGCCTGGCCATTTTTTGGTTGCAGCCATCATTGTTGTTTGGCGGGCCCGGGCTGGGGATTCGAACCCGCCACCTTAGGTGTATGTGGCTGGCGCCTTAGGTGCTTGAGCCACAGGCCCCGAGCCTCAGAGGATATTTTTTAAACAACTCTTTTTGTTTTTTTAAGAGACAGAGTCTTGCTCCATCACCCAGACTAGAGTGCAATGGCATGATCACAGCTCAGTGGGCTCAAGCCTGGGTCAGAGGATGTTCATGACATGTACTGAGAGATTATGTTCCATTGGGACCCCAGGGCTCAGGTTATTATAAAGATCTGTGAATGCTTTTATCCTAAAGATAAGAGCTAATCCTTACCCTGGCAAATTAATATGATGTTTTGAGAAGTCAAACTTGTTCATAAAATGGCATCCCAAAATTTTTTTGCTCTCAAAACATCTTACTCTCAGTGAGACTACCTACTTCAAGTTTCATTTTCCCACCTCAAAATATGTCTCCATTGTCTTTTTATCTGAGAAAGAAGGTTGTTATTTCTTTTTGTAATCTAATCTCTCCCTCTGTTTTCTTACTGCCTTACCTACTATTAGAGGGATCTTCCTTCATAACAGTGTATCTCAAATAGGTAATCTTTCTGTCTTAAGGGCACCTTCAGCAAATAAATAAACAACAAATAAAAACCACCTTTTGATCATCTATTGTTTCAAGATGCCTCCTTCTAATACTTCCAAGATTTCGTCCATCTGCACTTTTCCTCAATTGAGTTTGTTCTTTCTGTCCTCATGATCATGAGCAGCCTTTAGCTGGCAACATCATCTTGCAATGTGACTGTTGGAAGTACACTCCTTTGAATATACAAAAGTTATTTCTTGCATGAGTCATTTTCTGGTTCTCCCAAGTTATATTTTTTTGACAGCTCTTTATCTCCTATAGTACTTTGTAATTCTCTTTTCAAATTTATTTTATTCTGCAGTTGATAAGAGGACATGGACTTTGGAGTCAGGCAGACTTTCACAATCACTGCTTATTAGTTTATAACCTTGGGCAAATTTCTTAGCTTCTCCAGACTTCAGTGAGCTCATCTGTAAAATGCAGATAATAACCATACCTACCTGAAAAGACTCTTGTGTAGATTAAATCAGCTAAACTGCCTGGCACATGAGAGGTGGTATGTTACTATTATACCTTGGAATATATTAATTTGTATGATTTTCTTATCTACTGTATAATACTGTTAGCTTCATAAGAATAAGCTCCATTTTTCTTTCATTTTGGCTTCACCTGTTTGTACATAACACATAGTAAATTATTCACTTTTTGAAGGGCAGTTTTAAAAAATCTGTTGACATGTTATTTATTCCTAGGGTATTTACAAGTGCTTACTTAAAAAAAATTTTAGTATATCTAACTTTGTAAAAAGCATAATCATTGTAACAATAAGAGACATTTGTGTCAGATTCAATGTTTTAAAGGAATAATTGGAACCATTAACTGTAAAATACAAACCCACTTTACCACAATGATTGGGTTTTATGTTAGACATATCAATAAATACTGTAAATTTTAAACCACGAGCGGCATTTAAAAACCAACTTTAATGATTTATGCTTAAAGAAATGGCTCAGGCCTATAATCCTAGCCCTCTGGTAGGCTGAGGTGGGTGGATTTCCCTGAGCTCACAGGTTCGAGACCAGCCTGAGCCAGAGCGAAGCCCGTCTTGCAAAATATCTGCTCATTGTGGCAGGTGCCTGTAGTTCCAGCTACTCAGGAGGCTGAAGCAAGAGAATCACTTGAGCCCAAGAGTTTGAGCTTGCTGTGATAGGTGATGCTATGGCACTCTACCCAGGGCTACAAAGTAAGACTCTACCAAAACGCATCTATTTTATGTGTTCAGTATAAGTTTTTGACAAATGCATATACCTGTGTAACATCAACCTAGTGGACATTTACATTATCTCAAAAGGATTCCTGTCTATTTTTAGTCTGTTCTCCCCATAGACCCCAGCAACAGGCAACTTGTCTGTTTTCTGTCACTGAAGGTTAGATGTTCTTCTTTTACAGTTTCATATATACAGCATGTACTTGTGTCTAGCTTCTTTCGCTCAGTATAAAGTTTATGAGAATCACTCATGGTACATGTATGGTAGTTTGTACCTTTTTACTGCTGAGTAATGGTCCATTAGATAACTATACTACAGTTTATCCGTTCATGAGTTGATGAACGTGTGGTTACTTTAGAGTTACCAAGCCTGAAGCTGCCATGAACATTTGTTATAAGTCTTCGTGTGGACATATGTTTTTACTTATGTTGGTTAAATACAAAGAATGAAATTGCTGGGTTACATGGTCAGTGTATGTTGATCTTTTAAAGAAATTGCTAGACTGTTTTCCAAAGCAGTATTCTCTTTAGCTGTTCATGAGAAGGCCAATTGCTGCACAGCTTTGCTAACATTTTAAAATATTAGCCACTTGAGTGGTTGTGTAATGATATCTCACTGTGGGTTTAATCAGCATTTACCAATGCACATGCTGTTAGCCAGTTCTATATCTTTAAAATACTCAAAAAAATAAAATGTCCTTTGTTCATTTAAAACAATGGACCTTTTGAGTTGCAAGCATTCACTTTATGTTCTAGATACGAATTCCTTGTCCAATACATGTATTGTGAATATTTTCACTTTGAAAGAGCAGATGTTGCACATTTTTGATGAAGTTCAATCTCTTTTTTTCTTTTTTTAATTAATAGTGCTCTTTTTTGTACCTAAGATTCTCTGCCTTCCCCAAGACCACAAAGATTCTACTGTATTTTCTTACAAGCTTTATACCTTTAGCCTTATATTATGATCCATTTCAAGATAATGTTGGTCTATAGTGTGAGGTAAGAGTGAAGCGTCATTTTTTTAAATATTGTATCCAGTTCCATTTACTGAAAAGATTATACTTTCCCTGTTATAGTATCTTACCTTATTAGTTGATGTTCAATTGAACATAAAAACACGTTTATATAAATATATAAGTACATATTATATATCTGAGATATGTACATCTGAGATATTCTGTTTCCTTGATCACTGTTTCTCCTTATGCCTACCACACTGTAGTGAAAACTGTCATTTTATAGTTAAGTCTTGAAATTAGTTATATATGTGCCCCAACTTTGTTCTTCCTCTGCATTTCCATATAAATTCGATGGTTAGCTTGTCAGTTAAACAAAAAATTCTGCTAGGATTTGGGAGAACTGATACTTTGGCAGTCTTGAGTCTGTCAGTTCTTGCTTGTGGAACAGCTATTTATTTGGGTCTTCCATTTCACCAGAGATTTATAGCTGTCAGTGTATTTATCTTGCACATGTTTTGTCAGACTGTTCCCTAAGTAGCTCAAGTATTTGGATCCTCAAGAAATTACAAGTTCCACTTCTTCCTTTTCGTTTCAAATGCCTTTTTATTGGAGTTCATGTTTTCCTCAAATTTGAACGATTTGGGCCATTATTTCTAAACTAGGCATGCCTTGGACTCCTCCTCCCTTCCCCTTATCCTATTGGAGTTTTCTAGGTTCCCCAGAGAAAGCAGGTAGTGCCACCTGGGAGAGATGCCCAGAGTTGGGACCCGCGTGGACCGGGTCCTCCTTTCTCCCGGGTGGTGTGCTCTCTGACCCTCAACCTTGCGCCGGTGGGGTTGGCTCTATACCCTGAGGGGCTCCTAGACTGGCTTCTAAGTGGTTGTCTGGCGGCCCTCCCCTGCTGACCCTGGCCAGGATCCAGTTCTGGGAGACCCGCGTAACAAGCAGATCGCTTCCGTCCGCCTGCATCAGATGAAGGGAGATCACGGTCTCCACAGTAGTGGAAAGACCTGATTTGGGGAGACAAACGTGGCTTGTTTGTGATTATCACTTAAATTTTGCAATATAGCCCTTTTTAGATATATTTTATTATCGCCATCGCCACTGAAGAAATTGAGGCATAAAGAGGTTTAGTTGCCGAAGTTCATACCGCAACTGAAAAGGGGTGGAGTCAGGAATTTGAAGATTGAATTTCAGCACTCGGACTCCAGCGCTCCCTGCTTGACTGCATGCTGACAGGAGAAAGAGGGGCAATAAAAGGAAGAGGAAAAGGCGAAAGTTACAGAGAGTGCAAGACAGTATTAACTTTCCTTCTTTCGTATCTTATCAAGTCTTGTTTTCTCCAGCTTCCCCACGACATCAAACATTCTGCCTTGAATTGAAATCAGTGCCCTTAAAACACTGGCTCCGGTAGAATCCACGAACGTGGGAAAGTCTCATTGTATTCACCTTCCACATGCCGACGGGCCAGTAAAAGTGAAACAAGGCCAAGTGGGTGCCTTTTCCCTAGAACGTCTTAAGAATGAGAGGTGGGAAGACCCGGCTACCTGCCAGCACACGGAGAAACTACAAAGGGTCCCGCGGGGCAGAGCCACGCGACTCCACGTGCGTTCCGCCCGTCCCGACTAAATGCACTAGGAAGGGGCACGTCGTCAGGACACAAGTCGCCTGGGGCGTCTCTCTAGGAAGAGGTTTCCCCAGCTAGCGGAGCGATCGATTTTCCACAGCAGCAGAAACCACAGCGCCGCCTGCAAGTCGTAACCGGGGGCTCGCGGGATCCGGAGCCCAAGCCGGAGCCAGGTGAACCGGACCAGGGCCGCGCGCGCTCCCGCGGGACGGGGAGAGGGCGGGCCCGGAGCAGGGGCGGGGCCGGGGGCGTCCGCTCCTCCCCCTCGCGGGCGGCCGGACTGGCGGCGCCGAGCCCCCTGTGCCCGGCACATGGGGCGTCTGACAGAGGCAGCGGGTGGCGGCGCTTGGGCTGCGCGCTCGGCCGGGTCCCCTCCCGATCTCCTGCCCCTGTCGTCCACGTCCCGCACCACCATGGTGTCCAGCGAGGAAGACGGCACCAACGGCGGCGCCTCGGAGGCCAGCGACGAGAGGGAGGCGGCCGGCAAGAGGAGGCGCCTCGGTTTCTTGGCCACCGCCTGGCTCACCTTCTACAACATCGCCATGACCGCGGGGTACGCGCGTCCCGGAGGTCTCCCTACACCGAGCTCAGGGGACGGGCTGACCGGCGGGAGCGCGGGGTGGCGCGTGGAGTGTGCACAGGGTGGGGCGGGGGACGCGCATGGGCCGGACCTCGGGGGGGCGCGGGCGGGGGACACGGGACGGCCGTGGGGGAGGGGCGCGGCGACGCCGCCCGGTTGAATGGAACGGGGCGGGGGGGCCGGCGCGGCTCGCAGGGCATTGCCTAATACGGTGCACGGCGTGGCGCGGCGGCCGTGGGGCGCAGGCCGGAGGTTAAGTATAGACCGGGGCAGGAATGCGGGGCCGACCTGCGGGGGAGGTGGATTACTCGAGCCGCTGGTGAAGACGCACCAGGCTCCAGCCACCGGGAGCTGTCCGTCCGCGTTTCCTCGTGCTGCGATCCATGGGCAGAATTTAACTTTTAGTTTGATCTCAGTTAAAACACACACACACACACACAAAAGCGCAGTATGTCCTAGAGGAGCTTCTTACTTGGGACAATTAAAAAAAAAAAAACACCACCGCCTTATCGGAGTATGGCACTGGTGTCCAGCATCTTTATGGCCTCATGCTCCTTTGCCAATAGATACCCTGTACTTTTATTTCTGGCTTGGAGCGTGACTTCCCAGTTGAGGTTACACAATAATTATCTGTCTTCAAAGAGCCGTCAGAGTGACTTCTGTGTCAACTGCTTTTCAAAACCTGTTGGGAAAATGCTTTTCCGTTTCTAAATGTTATTGCCTTTTAAAAGTATTTTCTCATCATTGCAGGAAACATTCACTTATACAAATGTGGGGAAAAGTTTAATATTTTCAACTTTCTTTCGGGCTTATGGAAAACGCGAATGACAAAGATTTAATAAATCTTTTAGTAGGGTATTGAATGTCTTATTTGCTTAGGGTGTGATACAGAACGCCTGATACAGTTCATAGGAAGATATTTATTGAGGATTTACTATGTGCCAGGGACGGTGCTGGTTATTTTAGATGTATTATCTCATTTTTTTAATGCTCTACCATTCTGTGAGGGGTACATACAATTGCACTTTGTAGATTAGGAAACTGAGGCATAAAGAAACACCCAGCTGGAACCCTAGATTTAACACTAGACTTCTTGGCTCCTTGAGCGACTCCTTGGCTCGCTTCATCCTCCTTTCCTAAATTGTAATCTTGAAAGGAGAGAAAACTAATCAGATATTCCAAACAAATGGAGAACAGTTCAGTACCCCACTCTGTGCTGCTAGAGGGGCTGAAGGAATTCTCTCTCCTGGCTGATAGACTTATGTAGTTAGCCTTTTTCTTTCTTTTTTTTTTTTTGAGACAGAGTCTCACTTTATTGCTCTCAGTAGAGTACTGTGACAGCACAGCTCACAGCAACCTCCAACTTCTGTGCTTAGGCGATTCTCTTGCCTCAGCGTCCTGAGTAGCTGGGACTACAGGCGCCCCCACAATGCCCGGCTATTTTTTGTTGCAGTTTGGCCGGGGTGGGTTTGAACCCTCGGTATATAGGGTCAGCGCCCTACCCACTGAGCCACAGGCACCGCCCCTGTACTTAGCCTTTTTGAAACACTTGCCATGTGCTACTGGTGGTTGTCCCTTTCCAGTTCATGCTCCATTTTGAAGGCCAAGTTATGTTTCAGAAGTGAAAATCAATGCTTAACTTCAGTTTAAAGCCTTCAGTGAGTCCCTGTCACTTCCACCCTAATCTAAGGGATTTAGACCGCCTGTCTTCCAAGGCCCTTTGCAGTATGCTCTGTGGTTCCGATTTCCACACTTTCCTGCATTTGAAATCTCTTCTGACTCACTCTTCCCTCCAAGCACCATGTATTTTCACAGCGCTTTTGCTCCATTGTTCATTCTTTGTATAATGTTCTTATTCTTCCTGTAATTTCTAATCAAATCAACTCCTTTGAAAATTTCTAGGTCTCCTACTTCACCTGGAATAGAATTCAATGCTTTCTCTTTCAAGCTTTTGCACTTGGTTCCTTGTTATCTCTGCCCCTTTCTGGCATCAGAGTGTACCTAAACTTGTCTTTTTCTCTGCCTTGCATGAAGAAGGTCTCTTGTCATTTTCTTAAGGCAGTGAGTGAAATGGAATCGTTCATGTAACTAACTTTTTGGAAGCTTTCTAGATAGAGGCGTTGAGATTTGAAGAAGGAATAGCATTTGCAAACATAGAGGTGACATAAATTCTAGAAATAGGCATAATAAGCAAGCCTGGTATATTCTTTTAACTGAATTGGGAGATGGTGTTGGGAATAGGGGAACATAAGTTTGGAGAAGGTGTGGTGTTAAAATTGGAACAAAATCATATACATTCAGTGGAGTGGATAGCAGAAAATTCATTGAAGTTCTTTTTGTTCATTTCACTTGCTTTTTTTTTTTTTTTTTTTTTACCAGAATTCTGGGTGTTTATTTTTTTTTTTTGTAATTTTAAAACAAATTGGGTGTGATGTCTTCTGCCTGTGTTTCTAGCTACTTGGAAGGCTGAGGCAGGAGAATTGCTTGAACCCAAGAGTTCAAGAGCAGCTTGGGTAACAAGCAAGACCCCACCACACAAAAAAATTTAAAATAATTCAATAATCTTTAAGAAATATTCTACATTTTTACATAAATGTAAAAAAGAACTTATCTAATTCTATAAGCCTGGCATAATTTTTCTTATCCTTCATATCATATGCATATCTAACCTCTTTCAAAGTTTTACTCAAAACTTTATTCTCAAGGAGCCTTCACATTCTAACACTTATTATCTCCCTTGCTTATTTTCCCCCTTTCCACTAACTGCCATACATCTGTGCAATGTATTTTACGAATGTGTCATTGATTATTATCTGTTGTCCCAATTAGAGTGTAAACTACTTGGAGCACTCAAATATTTGTTCATTGAATGAATGAATGAAAACATATTTTAAAGCATTGTTGTTACAATTTCTCCTCTGTTATATGTTCTGTTTTTACCTAAATTCTACGTGTCATGTTGGATAAAATCTTATTTTTACTTAATAATTGTCTATCAAATATTTTTATATAGTTTTCATAAGTATGTTCTTTCACAGAGTGATTTTAATCATGCCCCAATCACATTTTTCTTTTGTTTCTGTTGAATTAGTGGTTTAGTATAAATTCCCAGGAGTAGAATTACATCTTTAACGGATGTAAGGTTTCTGTGGCCCTTGGTCTTTCTCTCTCTCTCTTTGTGTGTGCTTTTCAACAGATAATTTGAGCTTGCATGAATGCATTGTTCTACATCAAGGGAGGGACATACGGTAAATATTTTAGGCCCTGTCTTTTTATATATGACTTAAATAAAGTGCATTAAAAGAATGAGATAAGTGCTCAGCGGAGATATCAGAGGACAGACAGGCAGAGAGAATTAGAGAAAGCCTTGTGGGGGAGATCGTAGCATTTACACTGAGCTTTGAAGGATGAACAGGACCTTACAGGTGTGGATAAGGAAACAGGATGCATGAAGGTACAGAGATGTGAAATTGCTAGACATCTGTCTAGGTAACAACAAGTGGTCCTGAAAGGTGAAACGAGGTGGGAAATGAAAGTGGACAGGTCCCTTGAGCCATTGCACAGGGCCTTAGATGACTTGCTGACGTGTCTGGATTTTAATTTGTAAATGGTACAGGAAGGTGTTAATTAAAGGCTATGTCTCACTTCTTTGTAGCTGGAGAACCTCAGACAAGTTACTCAACCTCTCTGACGCTTAGTTTTCTCACCTGCAAAATTGGAACAACACAACTACTTTGCTAGATTATTACAAGGAATAAAAAGATAACGGATATGAAGTTCTTATCAGGGTTGCTGATGCTCAGTGTACTTTTAAGAGTGTTAATTCATATCCATAGTGGTTAATTTAAAATTGCACTTCTTGCAGAAAGAGAAATTAGTTAAGATCTTTTTACACTATACTGAATAGTACTTTAGAGGAAAAAAGAAAACCCAAAGTTCATTTCCCAAAATTGTAAATAAGAGCCATATTTTTTATTGCTGAGGAGGATATACAGGATGGCCATAAAGTTCATGTGCGGTTTGAAATTACACAGGATTTTAAATTGCACACGAACTTTATGGCCGCCCTGTATTTAATCCATAAGGACAAATCTGTTGTATAATTCTACCACAAGTTGTTTATACATGTATCCGTTGGTGCATGTTTGGGTTCTTTTCAGTTTGAGTTATTACAGATAAAGCTATGAACATTCGTGGTCCTATGCTTCTGTTTTTCTTTGATCAATACCTATGAGTGGCAGAGCTAGGTAGATGGCAGTCACATGTTAATTTCTTAAGAAACTGCCTGTTCTCCAAAGTGGTTGTATCATTTTACCTTCCCACTGGCAAATGAATGAGACTTCCAGCTGCTATACATCCCTGCTGGCTTTTAAAATTTTAGACATTCCAATAAGTATGTTATTACATCATTGTGAATTTGATTTTCATTTCCCTAGTACCTAATGAGGCAGAATATCTTTCCATGTGCTTACTTGCCAATTGTGTATCTTCTACAAAAATATAGGTCCAAATCGTTTGCCCATTTTGTTTGCTTTAATGGGTTAGTTTCCTATTCCTGAGTTTTGAGAGTTCATTTTTTTTTTTTTTTTTTTGAGACAGAGTCTCACTTTGTTGCCCTCCACAGCTCACAGCAACCTCCAACTCTTAGGCTCATGTGATTCTCTTGCCTCGCCTTGGCCTCCCAAGTAGCTGGGATTACAGGAACCCACCACAGTACCTGGCTAGTTTAGTAGAGATGGGGTCTCATTCTTGCTCAGGCTGATCTCGAAATCCTGAACTCCTAAGCTCAAGAGATCCACCTGCCTCTGCCTCCTAGAGTGCTAAGAGAGAGTTCTTTATATCATCTGGATACAAGCCCTTTATGAGATACGTGATTTGAAAACATTTTGTCCCAGTTGGCTTTTCATTCTCGTAACAGTGTCCTCAGAGAGCAGATAGTCTTAATTCTTTTATATTTTATTTTTTTAATTTGGTGAGAGAGTCTCACTCAGTTGCTCCAGGCTAGAGTGCCATGGTATCAGCCGATTTTATAGCAACCTCAGACTCCTGGGTTCAAGTGATCCTCAAGTAGTTGGGACTTCAGGTGCCTGCCACAATGTCCAGCTAATTTTTCTGTTTTTAGTAGAGACAGGGTCTCGCTGTTGCTCAGGCTGGTCTTAAACTCCAAGCTAAGCTCCAGTGATCCTCCTGCCTTGGCCTCCCAGAATGCTGGGATGACAGGTGTGAGCCACTGTGCCTGGCTTCTGATGGTCTTAATTCTAATGAAGTTCAGCTTCTCAAGCTTTTTTCTTTTAGGAAGCTTTCAGCTTAACTCATTATTAGGATGAGTTTCTGTGTGCAGTCATTTGAAACACTCATTGGCTGCTAAACAAAACTATAACTTTAGGAAAGGCAGTTTACATAAACAATACAGATTGTATAAAAGTCAAAGACTATCTTTCATATAAGCCTTCCAATGGTTAAAAGAAGTATAAAGAAATGACAAATCAAAGTATCATCATTTTTCAATAGTTACTGAAATAGTGGATCTAGGCAGTGATCATTATATGATTGTTGGTGTTGTGAAAGAGAGGAACACCCAGAAGTTCATTGCATGCTCCTTATAGAGGTGTCTACTGCAACTTAGTAAAATCAAACAAGAATCTGATCGAACCCTTAGAATTAGCTACCAACTTACAGGAGGAATAGAATGTGGTAAAAATGACATACGGGTGTTCAGTTTGCAAAATCCATACTGAGGGTCTTCAACAGGCGATTACAAAAGACAGAGAATGAGGGAGGGAAGGAAAGAAGGAGGTAGGGGAAATATAAATTAAGAGTCATAAAAGATTTACCAACTAATTACGATGTATGAATCTTATTTCAATCATGCTTTTAAAAAATTATTAGACAGGCTTGGTGCCCGTAGCACAGTGTTTACAGCATCGGCCACATATACGGAGGCTGGCAGGTTCCAACCCAGCCTGGGCCAGCTAAGCAACAATGACAACTGCAACAGAAAAATGGCCAGGCATTGTGGCAGGTGCCTATAGTCCCAGCTACTTGGGAGACTGAGGCAAGAGAATATCTTAATCCCAAGAGTTTGAGGTTGCTGTGAGCTGTGACGCAATGGCACTCAACCTAGGGTGACATAGTGAGACTCAAAAATCAAAAAAAAAAAAATTATTAGACAATTGAGGAACTATATATCCTGGCTCTGTGTTTTGTGACCTTAAGAAGTTAACTATATTTTATACATGGCATAGTGGTAGTACGATCATGTTTATTCAAAAGAATCCTTTTGTAGATATGAAACATTTAAGGATCGTTTTATAGAGTATCTGGAATTTGATTCAAAATAATGAGGAGAGAAAATAAAGAGTAAATAAAACAAGATTGTTCATAAGTCTTAATAAGCTGGGTAGTGGCGGGAGGGGTCTACTGTATCATTCTTTATACCTTTGTATATGTTTGAAATTGCTTAGACATAATAAAAACTTAAAAGGCAGTGTTCAAATATTTTTTTAGAAAGGAAGCTTATAGTGTAGATAACCAAGTTTTTCTTTTTCTTTTACTTTTTTTCTTTGGAGACAGAGTTTCAAGCTGTCGCCTGTAGGTAGAGTGCCGTGGCAGCTGGGACTATAGGTGCCCACAACACCCCACTGTTTTTTTGTGCAGTTGACATTGTTGTTTAAGCTGGCCCAGGCCAGGTTTGAACCTACTAGCCGCAGTGTATGTGGCTGGCGCCATAACCACTGTGCTACGGGCACCAAGCCGATAACCAAGTTTTTCAAGGAAAAGGTGGTTGCCAAGATATTTCAGGAGAAAAAGCAGCATTGGAAGACAGCTAGCTAAAAGAAAATCCTCTTTGATAAAGTTTTTCATGGTCACTGTAGCCATAGTGGTGTGAGAAGGTAGCCCCTGTGTTCAGTAACTCATGATACATATCTCTAACATTGCTCTATGCTGTTTTCTCTCTCTAACTTAGGAGTCCTCAGAGGCCAAAGCTATGTCTTATTTGTCTATAATTCCCCAGTGTCTAGCTCAGTACGTGGCTTGGTAACATATAGTAAATGTTGATCTTGAAGATGAACAAATAAGTGAATCAAGCAAACAAGAAATCTACATATAGGACACATGGTTTGCTGTTTGTTTTCCCTGAGACAGTATTTTATCACAGACTGAGTTTATTTGTTTAGGTTCATTTAATCAGTAGCCCTGGCAATATTCCAGAAAAGCTTTCCTAATTGCAGAAATTCTGATTGCTTTTGGAATATTTTTTGTTTGTTTTATTATTATTACTAAACTAACAGATGAAGGAAGAAACAAGGTTCACTCAGTGTGGGGCCCTTAGAAAAACTTTGATTGTCACCTTTTGTGATCATGGTTTTGGGCGGTAAGCTCTGCTCAATTTAGATTGGCTCTGTTAAGCTGATAAAACAGATAAGAGGTTAGGATAGATGGTTTGATGCTCCTTTCAAACTCCTGAATGTGTTCCATTTCTTTTATTTCCTACAGTTGAGTGAGGCTCACAGGCATAATATGGACTAAACTGATAGTTGGTACAATACTGCCACCTATGGAGTAACAGTGGAACTTGCTATAATGCTTGTCATAATGCATGGATTTTTATATCATATAATACTGTTTTTAAAACTAGAGAACTTAGAACAGGTACACTGGCTCATACCTGTACACTGGCTCATACACTGGCTCCTAGCACTCTGGGAGGCCAAAGTGGGTGGATTTCTTGAGTTCAGAAGTTCAGGATCAGCCTGAGCAAGAGCAAGACCTCATCTCTACTAAAAATAGTAGAGCATTGTGGCAGGTGCCTATAGTCCCAGCTACTCAGGAATCTGAGTCAAGAGGATCGCTTGAACCTAGGAGTTTTAGGTTGCTGTGAGCTATGATGTCATAGCACTCTAGTCTGACTGATAGAGTGAGACTCTGTCTCAAAGGAAAAAAAGTAGAAAACTTGCCTTCTAAATAAATCCTTTAATAAATTCATTAGTTCGTTAATAGCTGCTTCTAAAACATATCTTTTGTAGACATCTGATTTGATTTTTCCCCAGAAAGATAAGTGTATGGAAAATGTGAATGGAAACATCTTACTAAGCTTTTGTTCCCTCTTTTCTTTCTTTTTTCTTTCTTATTAAACGTTTTGATGCTTATTGGAAGTACAGGGACTTGGAATTGAGAATAATGAAATTGTAACATTTTAAGGCTGCAGGGAACCTGAAACATTAAACCAGTTAGCCCTCTGCGATCAGCCCAGCCATGAGTTCAGTGTTGGCTTTCCCATGAGATGAATCCATGAGTTATATCCACAGTGATGCTGTGATGCAGTGTAGAGAGGACAGGTCTAGAGATTCAGAGTCCTCCGAGAGTCTGTTTCAGACTTGCAGTGAAGAACTTAACTCTTGAGACCTAGAGTAAGTAATGTCTCCACATCACCATTGTCTCATCTGGAAGAGTAGCTTATAAATGATCACAAAACTATTCACTAAAATGAGCACAGACACCCCACATAACTTAAAATATGTATTTATAATGTAAGTATGAATTGCCATAATTAACTAACATCTCAGGAAACAATATATACTTAGACCCAGACCAGGATAGCATAGGGGTTCAAGAGTACAGACTCTGAGGTCAGTAGTGGGCTTCTGTCACAGCAGACTGGCTGTGTGACCCTCTGCCTGTTTCCCCCACAGCGAAATAGGAAAATAGTAAACCCTTCCCTCATCTTAGGTTATTGTGAGGATGTTAATGTGCAATGCGTTTGTTTATTTATTTAGAGATAGGGTCTTGCTCTGTCACCTGGACTAGAGTGCAATAGTATCATCATAGCTCACTGTGGCCTCCAACTTCTGGGCTCAAGTGATCCTCCTGCCTCAGTCTGCTAAGTACCTGGGACTACAGGTATGAGCCACCAGCCTGGCTAGTTTTTTATTTTTTGTAGAGATGGGGTCAAGCTATGTTTCCCAAGCTGGTCTTGAACTCTTGGCCTGAAGCAGTCCTCCTGCCTCTGTCTCCCAAAGTGCTGGGATTAGAGGTAGGAGCCACCATTCCTAGCCTGTAGTGTAGTGTATTTAGAACAGAGTCTAGAATATAGAAACATCCTGAACATATTATCTTTATTTCACATATACATTCACGTTGTTGTATAACCATCACTTCTCTCCATCCCCATTACTTTCCATCTTGAAAAACCAAAACTCTGTACTCATTGCACATGACCTTCCCACTTCACCTTCTCACCCCATCTCCTGGGGACCACCATTCTACTTTCCGTCTTTGTGAGTTTAATAACTTTAGGGACCTCATGTGACCAGAGGCATACCCTTTTGTGCCTGGCTTATTTCACTTAGCATAACGTGTTCAAGGCTCTTTGCTGTTGTAGCATGCGTCAGTTTCTTTCCTTTTTAAGCTGAATAATGTTCCATTGTTTGTATCTGCTTCATTTTGTTTGTCCCTTTAGTCACTGATGAACACTTGGGATACTTGTAGTATTTAGCAATTGTGAATGATGCTTCTGTGAACACGAATGTACACATCTGTGGTATTAGTTTTGGTGGTAGAACTTTATAAAATATTTTCATTTTCTCTAGATGGTTGGTTCTCGCTATTGCCATGGTACGTTTTTATATGGAGAAAGGAACACACAGAGGTTTATATAAAAGTATTCAGAAGACACTGAAATTTTTCCAGACATTTGCTTTGCTCGAGGTAAGTTTTTCATCCTGCTATTTTTCTAGAGTAACATTTATTTGAACATTTTTTTGTCGATGTTGAGCAAAATCAGTCTTACATTGCTAATTACACACCACCCAAGGATTTGTTTTAATGCCATGACAGGGATTCATGTTTTGTATTATTGACGTGTGATTCCTTTCCATTTGCTTACAGATAGTCCACTGTTTAATTGGTGAGTTTTGGCTTTAATTTTGCATTTTTGTTACAAATTGCCTTTAGGACAATTGTTAACTTGCTTTTCTCTTTAAGGAATTATACCTACTTCTGTGATTGTGACTGGGGTCCAAGTGAGTTCAAGAATCTTCATGGTGTGGCTCATTACTCATAGCATAAAACCAGTAAGTATTGTAAACTTGTCTGGCTGGAGCCTTCAAGAACGCTTCTCATTAATAGAGGAATCTAAAATACTCACATTTGTATATTTCAGGGAGCAGAACCATTGGACAAAAAGGAATTGAGTTTGAATTTATCCAACTGAATATGTTGACTTAATGCTTAGTAGGATGACTTTGGACAAACAGGACCAAATATCAGCATTTTATAGCCATAATGTATTCTCTTCTGATGCTTTCCAATTTTTAAAATTCATATTCTGTCAAATAACTAACAGAAAATTTTCTCTTCTGTAGAATCTTCTTTTCTATCAGTTATCCTCTTTAATTATGTCAGTGAAGTTGTCAGTATAAAGTTTATTTTTCCTCATTTAGCATTGTGAATCATAGTAACAGACATAAAAAGGTAAACATATAGCTCTGTTCAGCTATAAATAGAGCTAAAATAAATATTCCAGCTAATAATAAATATTCTAGTTCTGAATAGCTGGAAAAGACTAAGTTAAAAATTAAAAAGGATAAAAGGACAGAAAACTTCAGTTAAACAGGAGGAATACGTTCAGGAGATCTCTCATTCAACACGGTTGACTGCAGTTGATGACATGTATTCTTGAAAATTGCTAACGGAGTAGATTTTGGGTGTTCTCACCACGGGTAAATATGTGTGGCCATGCATATGCTAATTATCTTGATGTGGCCATTCCACAGTGTATCTTTAGAACATCATATTGTGCACTGTAAATATATAGTACATATGCTTCTAATTTATCAGTTAAAAATAATTTTCAAAAAGCTGTTAAGGAATTTGAAAAAAAATAAGCATTTTATTTAATGAGGCATGATGGGAAACAGACCTAATTATTAGATCTAATTAATGACTTGAGCCTTTTAGACAAGACAGACGCCATGTTGACTATGTCAAGATTCTGGGCTTCTTAAGCCCATGATGGAAACATTTCCTAGGTCAACCTTTCTGATCTTCTTGACAGCCTTCAGAGTCTTCTGTCTACTCGAGGACAGATCTCTGGACTCCTGTCTTGTCTCCTCTCTGCTTGGGGACTGATACCTAACCTGTCCTCTGTTCCTCTTAACCTCACTGGCCTCCTGTCTGCATGGAGACAGGTTGCCAACCTTCTGCCCTTGCCCTCTATACACTTAAGCCTCTTAAGTATTATCTTTCAGTCAACCTGCTTGATCCACATGTCCCCTGTAACCAGTGACTGCCATGCAGATAGCAATGAACACATGCCGTATGGAGAACCAAATTTTTTATCAATTAAAATTGCCCATTAGTTTAAAAGCAAAAGGACAACGTTAACAGAATGAGAGAGAGACTGTCTAGGCAGTGGATCAACCTAATAATGGCTGTGCTAGGATCACAGAAAGTCTAAAGAATAATGGAAAAGAAAGGCACCATTAGCTGGAGAGAAGAAGTGAAGGGAAGCTGGAGAGTGGCAAGTTCCAAAGAGAAAAAGAGACCCATCACGATCCATCTCTCCTTTTATCCTCCACTGGATCTCTGCCTTCATGGGACTATTGTTCTACAATAGTACTTTCCCGTTGGCACTGTTCACCACCTTTAATTAGTTAACCTTTATGGAATGCATTCTGTATACCAGATGCTGTGCTAATCTCCATATTTATAAAAATGAATAAGGCTGTTGGGAAGTGAGAGATGGTCATACAGATGTTGAGTCTTGAACAGATGCTGACTGTATACCTGTTCCGTGCCTGACAGTGTGCCGGGGATATGTCTGTTAATAAAGTAAACAGGTGCCTCACCTTGTGGAGCTTATAACTGAGAGACAGGCTGAACAATAACTTAAGACTTAATTATATTAGTGTCAAGAGCTTTGAAACAAGAGCCCAGGGTGCTTTGCAGTCTACCCAGGAACTTGGTCTGATCTGGGAAGTGGAGAAAGGCTCTTGAGGGAAGGGACATAGAGTTGAAGCTGGAGTTAGCCAGACAAATTCTAATATAAATTGGCAAGTGTCGTAATTCAACTTTGGGAAAAGTGTTCTAGAGGGCACGATACCTCTGCTGAATCCTAAATGATGAGAATAGGTTTTCTATGGGAAGCAATTAGACAGGATGTGTAAAGACTCCATGGTTCAGAGAATATTCTGGAAATAACGAAGTTTAATGTCACTTCATAGAAAAATATGTAGGAGGGTTGACTGACTGCAGATGAAGTTGAAGAGATTTCTGAGCTTGGATTGTAAAGTATCTTAACTGTCATGCTCAAGTATTATTAGAACTTATTTTTCTATTCTGTTGAGCAGTAAAGTCCCAGTGAAACTTCTAAAGTATAAGACTTAGCTGATTCTATTTTTTTGTTATATAGTCTCACTCTGTTGCCCAGGTTAGAGTGCTGTGGCATCAGCCTAGCTCATAAAAACCTCAAACTCTTGAGTTCAAGTGATCCTCCTGCCTCAGCCTCCTGAGTAGCTGAGACTAAAGGTACCTGCCACAACAACCAGCTAGTTTTCTGTTTTTAGTAGAGATGGAGTCTTGCTCTTGCTCAGGCTGGTCTGGAACTTCTGAGTTCAAGAGATCCTCCTGTCTTGGCCTCCCAGAGAGCTAGGGTTACAGGTGTGAGCCATTGCCCCTGGCTCCAATTTGTTTTTTGTTTGTCATCTTCTTTGTTTTCTTTTTATGAGAAAACATTCACCCACGAGGAAAGCAAAGAGAATATAGACTATGAAGGACTGTTAGACTAGATCAGTGGTTCTCAACCTTCCTATTGCCGTGACCCTTTAATACAGTTCCTCATGTTGTGGCGACCCCCATAAAATTATTTTCGTTGCTACTTCATAACTGTATTTTTGCTACTATTGTGAATCGTAATATAAATATGTGATATGCAGGAGACCCCCCAAAGGAGTTGCAACCCAGGTTGAGAACCACTGGTCCATCTGATGATAAGATCTTGAATTAAAACAATGGAAATGGGGCCAAAAATGAGAGGGTGGATTCAAGAGTTGTTCGTATAGCAGATTGGGTATGATAAAATGATTAACAGAAAGTAGGAGGGTCGAATGCTTCCCATTCTGGTTTTAATGGATGATGTTGTCCTGAGATGGAGCAATTCTTGGCTAGAGTGAAGGTTAAGAAAGAAATATCAGGGTTCGGCTCCTGTAGCTCAGTGGCTAAGGCGCTGGCCACATACACCAGGGCTGGTGTGTTTGAACCCAGCCGGGACTGCCAACCAACAGTGACAACTACAACAAAAAAATAGCCAGGTGTTGTGTTGGGCACCTGTAAGTCCCAGCTACTTGTGGGGGCTGAGGCAAGAGAATCTCTTGAACACAAGAGTTTGAGGTTGCTGTGAGCTATGAGGCCATACAGCTCTACTGAGGGCAACATAGTCAGACTCCATCTCAGGAAAAAAAAAAAAAAAGAAAGAAATATCATTACACATGTGACCCTTCTGCACAGAGGACATATTTAGGTTCCATGTCCACTATGAATTACCTCATAGTGACTAACCCTAACATTCCATCCGGATAACAGCCAACAAATCATTAAAATAAATGTCTTCATTTGGGAAACCAGTTTGTGTTTGAACGACACTGTGGATTTCTCTGTGATTCTGCAGATCCAGAATGAGGAGAGTGTGGTGCTTTTTCTGGTGGCGTGGACGGTGACAGAGATCACTCGCTATTCCTTCTACACATTCAGTCTCCTTGACCACTTGCCGTACTTCATTAAATGGGCCAGGTGGCGATCGATGTCTCCAGTTTAGTTCTCACCGTCCTGTGCATGCTTATGTGTGTGCTGAGCTAACACCCAGGACCAAAAATTCCATTTTAGCTTAACGGTGTCAGAATGCTGTCGTTCTAGATATTAACAGATTAGAACGTACTAAAGTTTAGAGTCATGATCCAGAGATGAATCATGTTAATATATAGTTTGAGTAAAATCGGTGCACGACAGTTATAGTAGTATACTCCAACTTGGTCATTTATTTTTCTGTGAAAGCACAGTAAATACATTTTTTTATTACATTAAACAATCTGTGGCAAAAATGGCAACAGAGTAAAATTATTTTAATATTCAAGCTGGTATCCACAGATTATCTCACATCTATAGTTTTTTTTTGCTTTAATACAGACTTTTTTTTTTTATTAAATCATAACTGTGTACCTTAATGCAGTCATGGGGTACAATGTGCCTGTTCTGTATACAATTTGAAATATTTTCATCAAACTGGTTAACATAGCCTTCATGGCATTTTCTTAGTTATTGTATTAAGACATTTATATTCTGCATTTACTAAGTTTCACATGTACCCTTAATAGAGACATTTTAAAAAGCTACACTTACTTAAAATTTTATCGTTTGGATATAGAGAGAATTTATATTTCAAGGGCTCCAAATAGCAACAGTTTTTAAAGCCAAAATGTCTGTTTAAATTCTTAGGGCTAGTGATACTTCACACACTTTTTATAAAAGCAGAACTGCTCTGTAGAGAACACATCGTAAACCAGTATAGATTCTTTTCATTCTGTTCTCTAGACTGTATTTATGGGAGCAATAACAAAATAACCATGACAGATGGTGTGTGCCTCCTGCACGCCTGAGATGCAGGTAGGAACAAAGCAAGGCTCTGTCCTCTCAAAACGAAGACAAAAAATTTAAAAAACTATAGGTGTGTGATCAGTTAGATGGTGATGAAGGGTGACATGTATATCCCATGGTCAAGAGTTAAAAAGTATTTTCCTTCTTTCAAGTTTTTATTGAACTACTTAGGTAATATATTTTCATTTTTTAAAATTTGTTTATTTATGTATTTATTTTTCTGAGACAGAGTTTTACTTTGTCACCCTCGATAGAGTGCTGTGGTATCACAGCTCACAGCAACCTCTAACTCTTAGGCTTAAGCAGTTCTCTTGCCTCAGCCTCCCAAGTAGCTAGGGCATAGTAAAAAGTTTAAATGATACAGGAGCATGTGGAATAAACAGAAAGCTCCTGTTTATACTCTTTATCCAACCTACTTTCTTGTCTCGGATTTCAGTGTGTACCCATCCAGACTTTTTTGTATTACTGAAAATGCAAAAGCACAGATGTGAATTTTTTAACATAAGCAAAATGTTATTATACTTGCTTTTTGTTTATGCAAATAAAATAGTTGTCTATTTAAATTGCACATGAACTTTATGGACACTCTGTATTTTATCTTGAAATTATTTTTTAAATCAGTATTGGTCCATTTTAGTCCATGTCTTTAATACTGCTCAGTCTTCCATAGTGGTTAAAACTAATCTATATCTCTGGAACTTAGACCATTTCCAGTCTTTTAATATTATACATTATATTATTAATAAAGCCATATCTATATTTCTGTTATTTTTAAAAACTCTGATATTTATTTTTATACCTTTTGTTTTAGATCCTTAGCTGATTTCAGACTTGTTTCTGATCCCCATATATTAAAAACCTAACACTTTTTCTTAGGTTATTACTCATTTGTTAATAACTCATGTATTGTACATGTTCAAATATAATTTAGGATATATACATAAACTAAAAAGAAAGAAAAATCTTATAAATTCCTTACATTTCATCTAACATGAGGATAATCACTTTTATTTATTTATTTATTTTTTTGAGACAGGGTCATGCTGTCACTTGGGCTAGAATGCAGTGGCATCAGTAAGCTCACTGCAGCCTCAAACTCTTGGGCTCAAGTGATCCTCCTGCCTCAGCCTCCTGAATAGCAGGGCCTATAGGCATGCCCCAGCATGCCCAGCTTAGTTTTCTATTTTTAGTAGAGAGGAGGTCTTGCTCTTGCACAAGGTGGCCTTGAACTCTGGAGCTCAAGGTCTTCTCCCAGGTCAACCTCCCAAAGAATCACTGTTAATTATTGTGCATTCTTTTAGACTTCTTTCTTTTACATTCTCTAGCTCCTTTTTAGACATATGTAGCTGACCATTTTGCATATAACAAAATGCTTTAAAATTGTAATTTGAATTAAAATATATTGTTTGTCATACAGAAGTTACACTACCATCTACGTGTGTTTCTTTTCTTTTTTTTTTGCAGTTTTTGGCCGGGGCTGGGTTTGAACCTACCACCTCTGGTACATGGGGCTGGCACTCCTTTGAGCCACAGGCACTGCACCATATGTGTTTCATTGGTTTTATTCATACTGTACATGAAAACATGCTCACTTTTAGTGATGGAACATTAAAAAGGTGGTGGTTTGAATGTAGCTGGATTCTAATCCTAGAATGCATATCAGTACTATGTTGCATGGCCGTCTTCTGGACCTCTGCTGTCTTTCAAAATCCTAATTCATGATACAGTCTAATTATGTGCTATATTTACAAAATCTGTTTGAGGAAGATAATGGATGCACCTTGCACATTTCTCTTAGATCAAGCACATTGATTTCTATTGCTTCGTCTGCCTTTCTGAATGTATTTGCATGTCTTAACTTTCAGGAAAACTCTGCCATTTCATGTTTAAAATTTTTTATTGAGGAATGATTGTCAATTGCCTTCATGTTAAGCAAGGTGTTATAAAATCTTTTCCATTTTGAAATGCATGCATTAGCCAAATACATCATGTGTGTTAATCATGATCCAGAATAAGTTTTATGTCAAAAAGATCTTTAAAAATCTCAGCCATCTAAATATATTTGCCAGCTGCATTAAGTTAAAAAAACGATGTTTATATTTATGTTCAAATGTTGAAGCTATTTTTCTCAAATAAAAACTTCACTTTAGAAATTGCTTCTTATTTATGACTAGTTTGGTGTGCCGTCATGATTTCAATATACTTTGATTCTATTTGTGCATTAAGAGTCTTCTTGGAAAAGTCCATAGAACAGATAATTGTACATTGAGTTATGTTTTCATTTTGAATTCCATTTTAATATAAGAAATGCATTCCTTTCAAAAAAATTTTAGGTGACAATTGGAATCTTCAGGAAGCATTATGTTTTTTTTCTGAATGTAGTCTAAACTTAGAGGGTAGCATGCAATCTCTTTAAAAAGTGCAAGTCAAGTCAAATTATCTTATTTGCTTCCATTTCATTAGAAATTTTCACTGTCTTTAAGGCTTTAAACTATTCTAGGGATGATTTTTTTTTCTTTTGAAGACCAGTGCCACCAAAAATTTCTTTTGAGAGCCACATAAAGTAAAAAAAAAGAAAGCTTAAATCAGTTTGGGTATTTTATTGGAGAAGGGACTATAAAATGTCCAGTTTTGTGATTTTAAAATTGAGATGTAGGGAAAGATTGATTTAAATGATCCACTAATAACTACAGAAGACTGGTAAGAAAGCAAGGGATATATCCAAGGCAAAGAAGGGATAAACAGGCACAGAAAGGGAATCAGACTTCATGCTTTGACAGTTAGTCTATTTTGGCAAATAATCTTGCCTCCTCCCCATTATCCTCAGCATAGAAGAATAAGGTGATTTTTACATTGTCTCTGTGCTTCTTCAATACTGACAAACTTGGCTTTTCTTTGCAGATATTTCTTAATGACAACAAAATTGCAAAATAAAGTACAGATTCATCTGATTTCTTTTTCCATCAAAATTTTGACTTTTCTCTAGTAACTTAACGTAGTGACTAATTTGGAGAAAAATGTTTTTCTTTAATGGAAAAATGTTCTTGTCTTGGGTCCTTTAGACCCTTCTTGTTGGAAACCAGTGGAACACAGGATGTTTCCTTAACTGGAGACACACGTGTCCCCTGGCCTACTGTGTGTTAGAGACCTGACCATGATCCAGATGAGCACATGGTTACTTTGGATTTTGGATAGAACTTTGTCAGTTCTATTTTAAGCCGAAAGTGGGAATTCTGGAAGTAATTTGTCTTACTGTTTTGAGAGTAATTTTAGACAGCATACTCATTAGTACTTACTGATGCTTTAAGTAGTGTTAGTAGTTTTCTTTTTCTTTTTTTTTTTTTTTTT